CAATTAGTCATGATAACAATTACTATTGAATCGTGAGAGTCTTGTCCCCATTTCCTTTCATCAGACCTGTCTAGACAGGATGAAAAGCACTCATTGGGGATTCTAACTTCCCCTGCACACTCTGAATCTAAACTCCCTCTTGAAAACTTGTAAGCCAGTCACTTTGTGCCTTTATAGGCCCCCATTTTAGGTTGCCAATGTCTAAGTTGCCCATCTCAGTTAACCCTGTATATAAATGGGATGGGAATGATCCATGCTGCAAAGATTCTTTCCCTCTTGGTTAGTATTTTAAGGGACTACATCCATAAGCATAGGACAAGTTCATCAGATTGTAGCAATTTATACTTGATTTCTTTGAAAAAAATCTATAAAAAGATATTTTGTCATAGATATATTTAATGAAATACATTATTTAATATCTTGTCTGCTGCATCCATGGGCATTGATTGTGGATCCAAGTAAAAGGAAATCCTTGAAAACTTTAATTTTTTTCCTATTTATCATGACGCTGCTTATCATTCCAGTTGTGAGAATTTTTGTTTTTAAGGTTAGGGTATAATTCATATTGAAGAAGGTAGTCTTTGATCGTCATAAGTAAGTGCTTCAAGTCTTCTTCACTTTCAGCAAGCATTTCCATTAGTCCCCAAAATAATATAGTTTATCCCAACTGAAAAAAAAAGAAGCGTGTGTTGACCTTGCCTTTTCTTCCAGCCACTGTTCTTTCTTCCTCCTCCCTTTCTGAGACAAGCTCTATACATAGTCGTTACTTTTCATAATTTTTCACCCTAACCCAAACTGTCTTGCCTCTCAATGTTGTTGTTGTAAAGTGCCCTGGAATTGGTTCCTGATCATACCTACCCTGTATAGGGTTTCCAAAGAGCATCTAATGGGTTTGAATTGCCGACCCTGTGGTTCACAGTCCAGTGCTGATCCACAGCACCACACTGCAAGTCTACCAAAACTGTTCTTGATAAAGTCACCAACTGCATTCATAATTCCAAATATAATTGATTTAAAACAGCAACAACAACAAAACTCTTCATATTACGGGACCTCCATACTGCTTTCAACAATACTGACTACTCTCTTTCAGGGTTAAAACACTCGTCTCTCCTGGATTCCATGGAACTGAACTCTGTTCATTTTCCTCCTTTTCACTTCCTTTTCAACATGACTGTAGAGTTTTTTTTTTTCACATGGTGTCACTAGGAGTCAGAACTGACTCAACAGCAACTGATTTTAACCACCAAAGCTGCTCAAGATAGACATGTAGAAGTTATTCTTGACTGTTCTCACTCCTTGATCCAATCCATCAACTCTGCTGGAAACATTGTCTTCATTTCATCTATACTTCTCAATCTTTCTACAACATAATCAAAGTAACCATGATCTTCACCAAAACTATTACAACTGTGAAGGCCGCATGACCTGTCACCAAAAGCTTTGCAACTAACAGACACTTCACCAAAGACAACATTCAGGCAGCTAACAAACACATGAAGAAATGCTCATGGTCATTAGTCATTAGAGAAATGGGCATATTTTTTAAGTGTGGTGTCATCTCATCCCAGCATTAATAACAAAGTTCAAGAAAACAGAAAACAACAAGTACTGGTGAGGATATAGAGAAACTGAAGCCCTCATACATTGCTGGTAAGATTATAAAATGGTCCAACCACTGTGGAAAAGAGGATGGAGCTTCCTTAAACAGTTGGAAATAGAAAGACCATATGATCCAGCAATCCCACTGCTAGATATATAGTCTAGAGAATTAAGAGTTATGACACACATAAGTATATATACACCATTTCATCACAACTTTATTCACAATAATAAAAAGATGGAAACAACCTAAATGGCCATCAATAGAAGAATGGATTAAAACAAACAAACAAACAAACTATTATACATACCCACAATGGAATATTACATAACGCTGCGGAATAATGAATCTGAGAAACATCTAATAACATAGAGGAACATGGAAGCTATTATGCTGAGTGAAACAAATCAATTACAAAAGGGCAAATACTATGGTACAAGACCGCTCTTATAAAAAGTCAAGAACATTCTTTGTCATTAACATTCTTTGATAGTTACCAAGGGTGGAAAGGGAAGGGAGGATAAATTGCTAGCTCTGGTAGCATAGTGGTTATGAATTGGGCTGCTATCCTCAAGGTCAGCAGTTCAAAACTACCAGCTGTTCCACGGGAGAAAGATGAGGCTTTCTGCTCCCGTAAACATCTGCAGCCTAAGAAACCCTGTGCAGGGTCACTATGAGTTGGAACCAATTCCACAGTACTTACCAACAACAACAGGGGGTTGAAGTTGTTGTTAAGTAATTTCTGACTCATAGCAACCCTGTATAGGATTTCCAAGGAGTGGCTGGTGGGTTTGAACCACAAACCTTGTGGTTAGCAGTTCAGTGCTGATCCAACAGTGCCATACCGGGACTCTAACTAGGTGGGGTAGGTGGATAGATATATATTAACAACAACTCCGATTATTTAGTGCCTTTCCCTTTACTCAAGTTAATATGTAACCAGGGGATAGATACATATTAATTTGGATAAAGGGAAAGGCACTATATAATCAGAGTTGTTGTTAAGTGCCATCGAGTTGGTTCCAACTCATAACAATTCTGCATGGGATTTTTGAGGCGTGACTGGTAGGTTTGGACAGTTAACCTTGCAGTTAGAAATCCAGTGCTTATCCTACAGTGCCACACCAAGACTCCATAATAAAATGGATATCAGCAAAAACATGTTCAAGGCAAAGGAAGACAAAGGAAGGAATACAAAAGTTGAAGACAATAGAGGTAAATACTAATATATACACAATCCTGCTATAAAAGTACAGTAGAATCAGCACTGGACTGCTATGCTAACCTCAAGGTCTGTGGTTCAAAACTACCATCCTCTCCTTGAAAAACCTATACAGGGTTGCTATGAGTTGGAACCAACTCAACAGCACACAACAACAACAACAGGAGTAGATGCATGGATAGACACACAGGCTGAATGGGTATGGAAGGGAGTGTGGGAGTATACCTGTGAATATATATAGGTTTGACAGAGGATGTACATGTACATTTATCTTTGCTGCAAATATATCCAGGAGGCAAAGTTATCAAAACTTCTCAGCTATAGCTAAGAAAATGAGTGGAGTCTGGGGACTCAGTACCATACACAGTCTTGGAAAACACCAAGGTCAACTGGCGTAACATAATCCAAAAGACAATGTCCTATTTTTACTTTGGTGAGTAGTGTCTGGGCTCTCAAAAGCTTGTAAATGGCCATCTAAGGTAGAACTATTGGTCTGTCCCTGTCTGGAACAAAGAATGAAGAAAATCACATATGCATAGTAACAATGGACTAATGGACCATAAGAACCATAGCCTCCATAACCCTGAGAACACAAGAACTAGATGGCTCCAAGTTACCACTATCAACTGCTCTAACAGGGATCAGATTACAAGGTCCTGGAAAGAGTGTGAGAAAAACATGTGGAACAAAACCTAAAATCATAAAAACACCAAGTTTACTGGTTGGATAGAGACTGCTGGAACACCTGAGATTATGGGCCTTCAGTCCTGGAACTGAATTCTCCCTTGTGGCTCAATTTCCAACAACAACAAAAAAATAGACCAGTCTATAAGGGGAATGAACTTCTGTGGTGCTATAGGATAAGCACTGGACAGCTAACTGCAGGCCAGCTGTCCATACCCACAAGTCATTCCTTGGAAATCTTATACAGGGCTGTTACAAGTCAGAACTGACTCGTTGGCACTTAACAGCACCAACAATAAGGGAAAAATAACACTAGAGGTACACACTCTTTAGAATAACTGACCATTTGAGATCAAAAGGGTAGTATTTACCCAAGAACAAAGTTTAGAGGCATGAAGAATTATGAAAGGAGGAGAAATGGAAGTAGGAAAAAGAAACACAGGGAGGAAGTGGAACAAATTATATTATATTGTGAGGACTGCAATCAATGACAAAACAAAACAAAACAAACTTTGTAACTGTCTATTAATGGGTCTCTCTACTTTCACTCTTGCCTTTTAAAAATTCAGTCCCCTACTTATACAAAGATGGAGTCCTGGTGTAGCACTATGATTTAATGCACTGGACTGCAAAGTCAGTTTGAACCACAAGGTTGGCAGTTCAAGCTCACCAGCTGCTTCTTGGAAACCCTATACAAGGTAGCTATGAGTCGGAACTGACTTGACGGCACAACAACAACAATTTATACAAAGACAAAATGGTGCAGTGGAAAGATAATAAAGGTTTAAAATTCAGAAAGGCCTGCCACAATGTACTCAAACATATTGGTCAACATCTAAATTTTCTTCAGCTATAAAATTACTTCTCAGATATTAAATAAAGAAAAGATACAATATAAAGTGCTTAAGAGTAATGCTTTGTATTGAGTAGCCACTCAAATAGCTCCTGCTACATACAAAATAAAGTCTATCTTTCATCCCCAAAGACTTCCAGATTCCATGTCTAATGCAGTGATTCACAAGTAATCCTCAGCATCAAACTATGCTCTCTGGCTACACAGCATATTTATTTGCTTTAATTAATATACTTTAAATGCTTAAGTAATAACAAAACCAAACCAATTGCCGTTGAGTTGACTCTGACTTATAGCAACTCCATACAAACACCCAACTATCCACAAGTTGGAAAAATTATACAGTAAATTTTCATTCTTTTTCATTAAACATATATAGAATATATTTCCAACTGCATAATGTGTAGTTTTTCACAAAATTGAATCATCTAATTCATAAACTAAAAAATGTTTTAATGTATTGGCATAAATAGCTGGAAAACAATTACTATAAAACTATTGGTTAAAAATATGTCTTATATTCATAAAATGTATGGTTCACATAGTTATTTTGCTTCAATACTTGCTTTTTTCTTTGTTTTTTCAGGGGCTGGAGGGCACGTTTTCTCAGCAAGTAAAACTTCACAAGATGCATTAGCTATATATAAATAAAACCACACATTAGAATTCTAATTATTAAATCAGTCATTGGAAAGAAATGCAGAGGACAAGAGACCTCAACTTTTGACAAACTGATTTCAATCTGTGCCTTTGTGAGAGTTTTAAAATTAAAACTTAGTCCTATCGCCGCTGTATACAGGGCTGACAGGGATGAGCAACTTAGCCATTGGCTACATAAAATGGGGAGGTCTATAAAGGCACAAAGTGACTGGCTTACAAGTTTTCAAGAGGGAATTTAGTTTCAGAGAGTGCAGGGGAAGGAAGAATCCCCACTGAATAAGTTTCATCTTGTCTAGACAAAAGGGTCTGGCGAAAGGAGATAGGGATACGATTCTTATGATTCAATAGTGAGTACTGTCACATGACTAATTGCTACTATCACAACTGTAAAGGTAGAAGTTTTGGAACACAAAGGGGGGGGGTAGTTAATCTTACAGTCCAGGAACAGAGGACCCTAGGACCATCAAGGGAAAAGAGCATGAGTGGAATGTGGGACCCCATCCAGAGAAGCTGGGACACCAGAGATGGAGGCAGAGATGATGACATGGAGAGAGAGAGCAGCTGAGGGCTCTAGATTCATGGAAAGAGAAAGGCTGAGTGCTGGTGGCCAGGAGGTAGGCTTGCAGAATGTGCCCTTTGGCTGTTTAAATGATTATATATTCCTGAGTTTTTTTGTGTACATTCCCAACAAACAAACAAACAAACAAACAAACCAGAGGGAATAGAAGAAAATACTTTCGAATGATGATACACTGAGGGGATTGTAATCATTGCAATGAAACAATCAGTATAAAACTGATGTCCTACCATGTAAACTATTACTTAATTCACAATAAAAACTTTTTTAAAAATTAAAACTTAATGTATGTTGAATATCTGAAAAAATGCTTAATATGAAAAAAAAATCCTTAAATATCTTTATCTCAAGAGCTCCAGGTTTCACAGAAGTAAATAAATTCTATATAAAAGCTTTCCCCTTCAATTAGCAAAGAAAATTTCACATGATTAAAATTCTTCATTCATCAACTCTCCTGTATTCAGGATTCTCTTTCTATTGCAACTTTAAAACTTGTCCAGGGCTTACAAAATTTTTTTTCCTATACTCAACCTTTCCCTCCTGCCACAGTACACATACTAACTTTACTTCCTCCCTTTTTATTTACTTCCAAACCCATGATAATGTAGTTTCAGCTCCTACCAGTGTCAGCAGAAATCCCTTACTCACTAGACCTCAGCACAACAGGCATGAACATTTTCCCTCTCTGGCCTCTTCTGTGACTACTCTCCAGTCTCTACTTTTCCTTTTTCCTCACTCTTCAGACTCATTTCAAAGCAACAGATATGTACTGATATCTGCTATGGGCCAATTTTATTTATCATATGTACTACTGTTACAAATTCAGTTCTTTATTTTTAATATCACTACTTTGGTATGGTGCTGTGGGTTAATGTGTTGGACTACAAGGTCGGGTTTGAACTGTAAGGTCAGTGGTTTAAGCTCACAAGTGCTCCTTGGGTCACTATAGGTTGGAACTGACTCGATGGCACTCAACAACTACAACAACTTTGGTTTAAGCTACCAAAAGAGGCTTCTCTTTATTCCAATAGCTTTCCATCTCCCTCTACAGTCCATTATCCTTATGTACTTAAAAATGCATACCTAATATGCTCTGCTTAAAACTCTTCAAAGAGTTTCCAATATCCTCAAGCTCCTTAACTTGGCATATTAAACCCTGCTTTTTATGATCCCTGTGTTATTTACATATTCCCTAGCTTTATCACTGGGTTTAATATGGTTGCCAGATAAAATACAGGATGATCAGTTAAATTTCAATTTTAAACAATAAATTCTAATATAATTATATACTAATGCAATAGTATAATACAATATTTATTTATCCTAAAAATGTATTCATTGCTTATCTGAAATTCAAAGTTAACTAGGCATCATGTATTTTATTTGCTAAAATTGGTAATCCATCTTTGCCTTATAAAATAGAGAGAAGTAGGTGGGTTGGAGATCTCTTTAGGAGACAAAATTACTAAGAATTGGCATTATATAAGAAATGGGAAGTGACAAGGAATGAGACTCACAACGACCCCTAAGTTTCAGGTTTGTTGAACTGCATTTATTAAGAGATAGGGGACAGTGGAGGGAGACCAGGCTAGCTCTTGGACATAACAATTTTAGGTCCTCAATCTTCATTTTATTTATTGGCTCACATCTTTTGTCAAAGCCAAGATCATGCTGTCCTTGAATTACTCTCCTTTCGTTAGCTTCTGAGATAACATTCTCTCCTGATTTTCCAATGGCTACCTAATTTCAGTTTCTTTTGTTGGAAAGGTCTCCTTTTTTGTACTTCAAAATGTTGGAGTATCTCATCTACATTCTTTTTATGTGTCTCTTTATTTTAAATTCTTAGGTGATCTTATCTAATCCTATGACTTCAAAACTCTGGCTATATATCTACATCTACAGCTCTAGCCTTTGCCTTGAACTCTAGACTCTTGCATTATAAACTGCCTCAATGACATCTCCAATCTAAATATTTTAGTGTATTATTTAAGTGTGCAAGGTTTACAACAAGGAGTACAAATTTTAATTGCCTATGTATTGACCCATGTAACCAACATCCAGTCAAGATACAGAACATTCTTTTTTTTTTTTTATGTTTTATTGTGAGTTATGTGATAGTTTACATGGGAGAACATTAGCTTTACATCCATCCTATTGTGTATCATTTCATTGCGTTGGTTACAATCTCCTCCATGCATCACCAACCAACCAAAGTGTATACCTTGCAAGCCTGCCCACCGGTCATCAGCACACAGCCCCTCTTCCTCTCTGGGTCTAGAGTCCCCAGCTGCTCCATCTCTCCATGTCATCATCTCTGCCTCCATTTCTGGCATCACTGTTTCTCTGGGTAGGGTCCCACACTCTGCTCTTCTCCCTTGATTGTCCCAGGGACCTTCAGCTCCTAGACTGCAAAGTCAATCACTTCCCTCCTTTTACTACAAAAGTCTACCTTTGCATTCCCAACCCTCACAATCAGTCCTGTTAACAATTATTCACTATTGTACCACAAGAGACCTATCCCTATCTCCTTTCATCAGTCCCATCCAGACAGTTTAGATACTACTCAGTGGAGATTCTACCTTCCTCCACACCCTCTGGATCTAGGCTCCCTCTTGAAAGCTTGTAAGCTGTCACTTCTTGCCTTTGTAACACTCCCCTCCCCACCATTTTGGATAGCCAATGTCCAAGTTGCCCATCCCTGTCTACTCTGTGTATGGGGGTGGGGTAGGACTGATCCTCACTGTAAAGATTTGTTCCCTCTTTTGAGCTACTACATTCATAGGTGTAGGTCAAGTTCATCAAATGGTATCAGATTACTTTTTTCCTCTTCTTTCTTCTTCTAGTTGAGCTCTGATATCAAATACAAAACATTCTTAACACCTCAGAAGTTTCTTGTATACCCTCTACAAGTCAGTATGTCCCTCAACCCCCAAAAGTGTAACTATTATTTTGACTTCTTTCACCCAGAATCTTATCTGTTTCTGAACTTATTTGTGAAATTATACAGTGTATGCATATTTGTACCTGGTTTCTTTTATACAATATTATACATGTAAGTTAACAAATAAAATTTAACATGCCCAAACTAAACTTTTGCTCATCCTTTCAACTTGTTCTGTCCTATAATACTCCCAAGCTAGGTGTTCAAACCAAGAATTTAAGACTCATTCCTGACTTCTCTATTCCTCTTACCTAACATTCATAACAAGATGTCTGCCTTCAGATCTTCATATGGTCTACACTTACACTTCATTCAGGTTCTGCTCAAATGTCACCTCCTCAGAGAAGCCTATTTTGACTACCCTATCTAAAACAGCATCTCCTGTCACACTGTTTCTACTTACTTTGTTTTGTTTTATTTTCCTTTGTTGCTTTTATTTCCACTTGACATTATACTTGTATTATATATTTGTGTAATTACCTGTGGCATTATAAGATAAGCACTTCACCATAAGGTTGGCAATTCAAGCCCACCAGCTACTCTTGGAAATCCTATACAGTTGTCACTTTGAGTCAGAACTATCTTGACTGCATACAACTACCACCTGTTTATAATCTGTCTTTTGCACCTGGCTATAATCTCCCAGATATATTTTTCACTGCTAGTATTTGGGAGTCCCGGTATGGCACTATAGGATAAGCAATGAAGTGCTACCAAAAGGTTGGTGGTTCAAGCCCCCAGTTGCTCCTTGGAAATCTTATACCCTATGAGTCAGAACTGACTTGACAGTACTTAACAACAACACAATACAAACAGAAAGTGCCAGCAATCTGTTTCCATAAGATTACAGTCATTGAAAATGCGATGAACTGCCATTCTACTCTGAAAGAAGTTGGGTTGCCATGTGTTGGAATCAATTTGATGAAAACAAATTTGTCTTTTCTGAGTTCCTCCACCACAAGGTAAACTCTGCTAGGGCAAAAGCTTTGTTATGTTCCCCAGCAAATGAAACAGTTCATGCCCCTCTGTAAGTGATTAATAAATATTTGCTGATTGAATTGCATTAATGAATGGTGAGTTAAGGTACTTCTGAAATGCCTAAGAGGAAGTGTCCAGATCACATTTGTATATAAGGGTCTTAATTTCAGAGAAAAGATCTAGACTGAGAGAAAATTTGAAAGTTTTTGCCTATTACAGAAGGTAGATTGAAGAGATTATATTCTAAGAACTAATCTTGAAGAACTCACACATTCAATACTTAACAAAGGTAGGTAAGATTTCAAAAGAGACTGAGAAGGAGTTGCCAGAAAATGAATTTCTTGTTTACTTCTGTTATTAGACTATAAGACACTTGAGGGAAAGAACATAGGCATTTCTTTATTTCCTAACACTCAGTAAAAGAGATAGCACACAGATGGAACAGAAAATTTGTTTAGTTAAGGAAAGTAAATAAAATACCTCTAAAGCAAGATAAGGAAGACCCTGGGTGACACAAAGTTATGCATTCATCTACTAGCTTAAAGGTTGGTGGTTCAAACCTACTCAGAGACACATCGGAAGACAGGCCTAGAAATCCACTTCCCAAAAGTCATAGGCTTGAAAACCCTATGGAGCAGTTCTTCTCTGCGTACATATCTTTGCCCTGGATAGGAATCAACTCAACAACAAAAATAAACCTAAACTCATCAGTTCCACTTTCTTCTACTCCATGAGTAAGAACTGGATCAACAGCAACTAACAACAAAGTAAGGTGTGATTTATTTAATTTTAAATTTCAAGTTTATCAACCACATACAAGTAACAATACAAAAGTATACATAATTCCAGGATCACTTAACACCAAGTTTTGTAAATAACATTTTCCACAGCCAAAGCAAAAAATTTTATTGGCTAAGACCTAAGCAAAATTGAAAAGTTGTTTTTGATACCTCATTACTTTCCCTTTTCTTATAAAACAAATCCACCATCTAGTAGATGGTGTGTGGCGCTATAGATAGGCACTCAACTGCAAGGTCAGTTTGAACCGCAAGGTTGGTGATTCAGTCTCACCAGCTGCTCCTCAGAAACCCTATACAGGGCTGTTATGAGTTGGAACCAACTCTAGGGCGCTTAACAATAACAAAAACAACTCCTTGCAAGGAAGTGCTGGTGTGGTGCTATAGGCTCAGCACTCAACTGCAAGGTTGATTTGAACCACAAGGTCAGTTGTTTAAACTCACCAGCTACTCCTTGGAAACCATATACAGGGTCTCTATGGGTCAGAACTGATTCGATGGCACTTAACAACAACTCCTCCTCCTCCCAAGGATGTGTTTTTACAAGCTTAGTCTTAATCACTGGACTAATTTTCTTTAGGTCAGAAATTATCTACATCATTTTTATACCCACAGTTCCTGATATAATGACTAGAATTTAGTAAATGCTCATGCAAACAACTTTTTTCTTTTTAATTTTTACTTCTTAAAGTAAAAATTACACACACACACACACACACACGTAAACACATTTTTTTTGTTTGTTTGTTTACTCAATCAACGAGGACCCATCATGAGAACACCCAGCAATTCTTCAAGTTTACTCCCAAATAGATGCTATAATATTTGCTTTAGTAAATAAAGAAAATAGGAGTCTGAGTCTGAGATATGACACAGATTTATAAGGTAATAAAATTTCTATCTTAGTTTATTCTAAGAAAGTAATCAATAGAGTACCTATAGTATAAAGCATTTTGTTGATCCCTTTAGTTTTTTGATCATCATATGTGTGGTATCAGTTTATTTTTATTCCTCTCTATGAGGGCAGAGAATGTATATCACTTCCCATGGGTATAAAGCAACAATGACTCATACAGAGTAACAGTCAGTAAATATTTATTATATTAATAAATGATGGGTACTGTGGAGATAGTTAAGACCCACTTTCCAAACCCACAATATCTTTACTTCTTATACAGAACCACGCTAAAAAACACTGAGCTTCCTGGCTACCAATTTACTTAACACATGCTGTATTGTGGCAGAAATAAATAGAATCATGAAAATAATTGGTTTCACTATTTATTACCTGTTTCTAAATTTGAAGTACTCTTTGATTCTGAAAAGAGATTTTGGTCTGCTAATGCCACCACCCTATAATAAAAACAAATTTATGTTTTTTTTAATAATCTCTCAATAACTTGAGAATCCTCAAAAATACTGAAAATAAAGACATTTATATGCAATCAATTACCCTGTAGAAAAAACATAACTGGTTAGAAAAATGTTACCATATGCATATATTAGCAAAAAAGTTAATAAAAGTTAACGGACAGATTTATTCATCTATCAGTTTGAACCACCACTTGTCTTGTCAGCTTGTTACTGTTTGGTGGCTTGCATGTGGCTGTGATGCTGGAAGCTATGCTACTGGTTTTATGACACAAGAAGGAGCAGCGGTTCTTTCTGTTGTGCACAAGGTCATTATGAGTTGGAATTGACTTGATGGCACCTGACAACAACAAGAAATCACTTTGGATAATATGTTCAGAGTATAAGGCATAGGGTTTATATGACTTTAAACTCTAACTCTGTTAGCGTGCTTTGGCAAAGTTCCTTGAGTGTCTCGATTTTGATTACCTCATTTAGGCAAAAAGGATAGGAATCTTGTTTGCAAGGATTCTTGTAGTAAGGTTTTCAAGTAACATGAGAGATCATTTAAAAATATATATATATCCTTTTTTTCTTTTGCACTTCCACAAAGGTAACTCTTCTCCATTCTACCCAACTGTATAGGAAAGGATTAGCTATTACAAAGGGAATAAAAACAAGAAAAAAAGTAAAAGGACCAAAGTTCAACATCTGACCACTAAAATGGGATGAGGCTTTCTGTTCCCTTAAAGGTACACAGCCTTGGAAACCCTATATGGGGGTCTTTATGAGTAGGAATCAACTAGCTGGCACTTAACGGTAACAATAAATATATATGGGGCATATATGTATATCATTTATATATGCATACGTATGATAATCACCACTTGTCTGTCAGTTTGTCATACTATGGTGGCTTGTGAGTTGCTGTGATTCTGAAAGCAATGCCAGTGGTATTTTAAATACCAGCAGGGTCAACCGTGGTGGACAGGTTTCAGATGACTATACACATGGACCTCACCATATGGAATACATAGAAATCAAATTGACTACATCTGCAAAAAGAGACAGTGAAAAGCTCCATATCATCAGTCAAAACAAGGCCAGAGGCAGACTGTGGAACAGACCATCAACTAGTCATATGCAATTTCAAACTGAAGCTGAAGAAAATGAAAACAA